TAGGTTAACGAAACTGATCCCATTGCTGTCCTGAATGGGGCAAATAAACAACACTCGGGGCTCCCAAGTCTAAAGAGGTCCTCCGTCGAAAATGTATTCAATTCGTACTTTCAAATGTCACCGAGGTAAAAGATGTCTCGGCACCTCGATGTTCTTGATGGGAGGCACGAGATAGACAACAAAGTGATGATGATGCGTTTGACGAAGGAGCTGTTATGCTTAAAAATAAATTTACATAAAACGAGCGTCAAAGTTTGAGGGTAGGGGGGTTGTTGGTCCGGCTGCGAGGAATTCGACATTGCCTCAGTGCTGTTTGATCCACCGTTTATTGTTTAAGCCGTCATCTGACATGCAGCGTAACTTCCCGTCCCCACGCTGCTATTGGCTTTCTATTGTTTCCAGAGCGCTTCGTGACCATAAAAGAAAGCACTGCTTGCAAAGGGATCACGAGTGACATTGGAAGCTGAGATTCAAGTGTTCGGACATAGTATGCGGTTGTGTCATCAGGGGTGATGTTCATGCACACTGATACACCAGCAGATTTCAAAATCACTGGCTCAGTCCAAGAGACTGGGTTTCGAGTCACTCCGTGTATCAACGTGAGTTTGAATTTTGGCCAATGTCACTTGGAGACTTGCACATTTAAAAATGGAGTCGCTTGCCTGTGGTCTCTGGCTGGTAAAAACAAAATGGCCACTTCATTATCCTTTGAACAATGCAGCCCTGCAAAGGTTAGGACCATATGTTTTACATCATTGCGCCATAATTTGTAAACCTAACCTGTTCTAGATTGATGTATACAATTATTGAGAGCTCATACTAACACTGTACTTGCTAAATATGTGTGAGGGTATTTTCGTTATCATTGGGATATCCAATTGCGTGAGTAATTAATAACCCTACCAATTATCGGCCCGATTACTCGACTAATCGGATAACACAAACAGTGGGATAAAAAAAAAGTCTCACGTCTGCTGCCACCACGTGGTGCCCGATGGCCGGGAGGTGATGTGGGCGGGGCTTAATGACAGCCCCATCAAGCTGGGTGTGGCTTATAGGGGGTTCCCTGCCTTCCGCATGGCAGGCTGTTTTGTTTGGGCAGCCACCATTTTAAAGAGGTCTTGAGTATTCACACAAAATAAAGCAGTTGAGTTAATCGACTTAAGTGACTAATCCCAATTTTAGAAATGAGTCGGTAAAAACACATTGTCAATTTACCTGGTTTGCCACTATACAGTGGAAGTTTCCAAAATGTGTTCTGTTTTCACCCACATCTCTTCATTTTCACAGAGATGAACGATATTAAAGCAGTCGCCACTGACATGAATTGTTTACCCCCTTTTCTGCAACTTCTTCATTACATTTAAATGACCCGTGTACAATCCCACTGTATACATTTTGTCTCATTACATTTACTCTAACCTTAACCTTGTGATTAAGATAAGTGCAATTTTAATAGAAAATGTTCATTCTGTGATAAAACCCCATTTCGCTTAACGCTTCAAGGGCCTCGTTCATGTTCAGGATTGCAGCAGCTTCCACCAATGTTTCGCAGAAAAATTAATTGCCAGGAAATCGTGGCAATTTGGTTATTTTCCAGCAAATATTGGTAAAAAGTGCTTTTTTGGCAGCACATGAATTAGGCTCTCAGCCTCTAAATTCAATTTGTTCCACAATTTTACAGTCACTCAATTTAAATACGACTTTTAAAACGTTTGCGTGACATGTTAATACATGTTTAACACGTAGGCTTTCGCGACCAATATTCATAATAGAGATTTTTTGGGTTTTGATCGCGTAGATATATAAATGTGTCGTTAAACCCGCCACCACCCAACACAGCCAACTAGTAAGGGTTGTCACGTTAACAGAAAGTGGCCAATTCGTCACTTGTACAGCCACAACATTTACAATCTGAGTACGACGTTTCGCCAGTAATTACAACTCGCTTCATCAGGCGACAGCCAGATTTGTGGAGAAGTCCACCTGTTTCATTACTTATATAGAGGCAACGTACATTATGCATTATGCGAGCCCTTTGAACTCGTCCTGCATGCCTACAAAGGGTAGCTTACTTCAATAGGGAATACCGTTGGTACGGCTATTTTAATACACAATAGACAGGAAGGACAAGTGCAAAGGGCTCGCATAATGCATAATGTACGTTGCCTCTGTAATCCCCCTCCCCCAAGTGTCGCAAGAGCGCAGAACCGTGGTCACCACATCTGCGCCTCTATATAAGGAACGAAACAGGTGGACTTCTCCACAAATCTGGCTGTCGCCTGATGAAGCTAGTTGTAATCACGTCGTACTCAGATTGTAAATGTTGTGGCTTGGCCCTCCAACACACCGGTGATGCTGTACTAGTGACGAATTGGCACGTTCTGTTTACGTGACAACCATTGCTAGTTGGCTGTGTCGGGTGGTGGTGGGTTTTTAACGACACATTATTATATTTACGCGATCTAACCCAAAACACCTCTAATATGGATGTTAATACATCGTTGCAGAACAATAACCGGGATGTTAATATATCACGTTATACTTTGTCTTCATTTGTCCACGATGGCTGTTTAACAACTTGAAAAACGACTTGCTACTCGGCTCCTAACACACAGCTGAATGTCTATAGTATTTATTAAACTTTATTTTTTACGTGTCCACGGGTTTTTACTGCAGAGGCTATAGTTTGGTTTTTTTGGACGAAAAATCAGGGACGTATAAAGTTTAATTAAAAGATTATATGAATATACACGAGGTCCTGTGGCTTTTGAAGTTTGTGTTTGTTCTAATTTAACTTTTTTAAGGAATGCTAAAACATAAAAGTAGTGCGATTATGCAGTGTTTGTAAAAGAATATAATGAATAAAGAAATACAATGTAAAGATGTTAATGTTCTGCTTGATTTTTTTTTTTACGCTCTGAAAAGAAATAACTTTTACGTGCGTTATGTTATCCATTCGTGTTCTATTCTTGCGTATGGGAAAAAAAATGTTCAAGAACGAAATGTCGAGGTCTGCTAGCCACGACTCGAGAGCTTCAGGAGAGAGTTCCTGTGGTTTTGCAGACTGTGTGTATGTTGAACTTCTTTCGCACCGTACGTAGCCAACCGCGCTAATCGGAGGTGCCGTGGGAAAGACAAACAGGTGCCGCGCTTTACCGTACGGTCCATAGTCTGGGTCGCATGGCCACAATCGCTCTTCCGTGGCTCGTGTCTTCAATGCTCCATTCGTGAAGGAGACGTGCGCATCGGCCTGTTGGATGTTTCTGATGCGGTTGATGGCTACACGAACGGCGTCTTTGGAAGAATTTCACAACCAGGAGCTGCCATGAATAAGGACATGCAATCACAAAGTAGTTTTGCTCACTTAAACTGATTGGAGAGATTGGATGCTCAAGAGCTATGAGTTCTGCAAAGAGCCTAGTGTTGTGTGTAATAGAGGTTTTTTGGGGGCTTACATCGCGTAAATGTAAAATGCGTCGCTAAACCCTTCGGGTGGTGGAGGCTTTAACGACACATTTATATTGACGCGATGTAATCCAAAAATAAACCTCTTTTGGGCAATATTGGTCGCGAAAGCCTACGTGTTGAGCCAAGTGTGTCTATAATATAGGTATCATGTCACGCAACCTTAATTCATTAATCTTTGCTGCTGTGATCGTGCGTTCGACGTCATGCCCCCTTCGACAGAGCCACGTGTAGGCGTCTACGAGCCGGTACAAGGCGGCTTGAGAGAAGAGACGCCGTTGGCCTCCGCTGCTTTAGTTGGTGGACAAGTGAACGACGAGGGGGGGGGGGGGCAATGGAATACACTTTTATTCTTTATTCTACCAGATAAGGCCCACGAACACGCGTGTAGAGTACACAACGCTCGCATAGACAACCACGGCTGCAAATGCAAGATGAACAGGAGCGAGTGTGCAAATAACGTGAAGATATAATTGGTGAGAAAAAAAAATGGCGTTCACAACGTTTCTTTTACGGTTATAGTGTGTTTCACTTCTCCAGACGCATTATAATTTGCAATCAAATGATGTACACAGGGAAGAGACTGGATTAAATCAACATTGCATATCATAAATACAGATGGCATTCATCATCATGTAATATATCCATTGAAATGCATATTCTATTCATAGTAGGTGGCTGGCTCTACCTCAGTGATACACATTCATCAATTATACTGCCTTAAAAATAAAAAAATAAAAGTATATAATTGGCAATGTTTAGTTCTGTGTAAAGTGGCTCAGAATTGAATGCGTAGACTTTTACCAAATGCTGTAACCGAAACTGATTTTACAACACAGTAGTAGACGATAATCGGGGTTTCCCCCTTTTTTTCTGGCAACAAAACAGGTGTTAAGATATTATTGGTTCTTTCGGTAAAGTCACGTGGGTAAAGAAAATAAAAAATAAAATAAAAGATACAAATAAATAAATTCAATCACGACGTTGCGGGCGCAACACAAGCGTCCGTCATCAGGAGGGGACAACCACAGCAAGAAAGAATTGCTGAAGTGGGCCAAAGAGCTGCTGTGACAAGAGATTATATAGCTGAGGAAGGGGGAGGAGCCAAGGGGAGTGTGGGGGCGGGGCGTAGGTCAGAGGAGAGTGGCAGGCCCCGCCCCCACACTCCCCTTGGCTCCTCCCCCTTTCTCAGCTCTAACACATTCCTGCGGAGGGAGCTGGTAGGAACGTTGGGTTGCTCGGTCAATGGCCAGGGTCAACGGCGGCGTGGTGTATTCCGCAAATATGCCCGACTGTGAGGGCGGGCACAAGCCGGCGTGAGTAGGTTAAACGTTGAGTTTTATAAGGGCACCACGGGGTGACCAGCCCCTCCCCTCCCCACCCCCCACCCAGCCCCACCCTCCCCACCCAGCCCCTCCCCACCCTCCCCACCCAGCCCCACCCTCCCCACCCAGCCCCACCCCACCCAGCCCCTCCCTCCCCACCTAGCCCCTCCCCACCCTTCCCTCCCCACCTAGCCCCTCCCTGCACGACGGACACAATAATCCCCTGTGGGTTGGTGTAACCAAGAGGTTCCTACCAGTATAATCCCTTGTCACAATCAGCTCTTTTGCCTACTTCAGCAATTGTTTCTTACTGTGGTTGTCCCAGCCTGATGACGGACACTTGTGTTGCGTGATTTAATTTATTAATTTTTATCTTTTATTTTCTTTACCTACGTGACTTTACCAAAAGAACCAAGAGTATGGATCCTTGCAGTCACGAAAACTTCAAATCTAGAAGGTGTTAAGATGTTAAAACACCAAACTGAAACCTTTTACAAGGAATCATGTCTGCATTAACCACAATGCTTGTAGTCAGAATGCAAAAAAACATACTCTGATAATATATGCATTGTCTTTGAAACCGATTGGTCCACACCAGAGACAGCTTTCTTTTGAGCCTCGTCTCAAACGGTGTTAGACCAGAGGACGCCAAAAGGCGTAGGAAAAAAAGGGGAAAAACCTATTATATGTTGGTACTGGCAAAGGAGATCCCATGACAGTAGTAGACAAATACGATTTTTTTTTAAACCTATATTTTCTAAATTGGTTTGTGAAATCAAGTAAGAACAAAAACAACTTCAATTATGCCAAATTCTGCTTCGCTTTACTTCGCGCTGCCGATATGAACGAAATGTTTCGAGGTGAAATGTGTGCTTGCGTTTCTGGGCACCAACCTCACCGACTGATAAGTACCAGAGTGGTGAGGTATGGTAAAAAAAAATCCCGTGCCTAACATGGAGTGGCGAAGCCATCCAGCAGTGGATTAACAAGGCACTAAAAATAAGTGCTACGATCAGTGTTGTGATAAAAATTATTAAAATACAGGGGTTCAAAAAGAGCCAAAAATGCAATGGCTGTTAGCTTTTAGTAAGTATGTCATTGTCACGATTAATTAATTTTTTTAAACTACCGATGTTTATACTCTTAGGCTTTTTCGGTAAAGTCACGTAGGTAAAAAATAAAAATACAATTAATAATAGAAATAAAATAATAAATCACGACGTTTCGGAGGCAACACAAGTCTCCGTCATCAGGTGGGACCGTCACAGCTAACATCACTGCATCAAGTGATGTTTGTCGTGTGAAAGAAGATACCCTGTGTATCTCTTGTTCTATATCCGTATGCATTCTGTAATTGCGTTTGATGAAAGCAATATGCTCAGGAGCTAAATGCCATTGTCAAGGTCTGCTGCTGGTCACGGCGAGAGAGCTTCGGGGAGAGAGTTCGTGTCGTTTTGCTGTTCCTCCTCGGTTCAAGGGGGGCAGACCGCAGTGGGTTTACTGCACGGCCCGTAGTTTGGATTGCATGGGAGACGATCACCCCTTCTCGCGCTGGCTCCGCCTGTTACCTATTCCCGTGTCAGCTGAAACACAACTAATTCAGCCATCCAGGCGAAATAAACGACGACTACAAGTGCCATTGTTACGAGGGTCGGCGTTGCCTTAGCAAGTAAATATTCAGAAATTCGGTCTTCGTGTTGACAACAGATGGGTACATCACTGGTTATTCTGTCTGTCGATGTGTATGCCTGCATACACGTGTGTGTGTGCTCGTGTGAACACGTGTGTGTGTGTGTGCCAGTGAGGGAGCGGTGGTGTAGTGGTTAGCGCGCTGCACTACGAACCCGGCGAAACCAAGTTCGATTCCTGCTCACGGCCAACACCGGTGACGATTATCTGAGTCGGTCCTGGGCCTCTCCTAGGTCGACTCGGCCTCAAATGAGTACCTTGTGTATGGTGTTTAAACATCACCACTGGGGAGACAAAGGCGGCCGGGCGTGGTGTTGGCCACCCACCCCCTTGTGTGCCGTGCCGGCCTTCATAGGTGCTCGCTAACAGCACTTGCCCCAACAGTCTGTTACAGGCATATGGAGTATCTTTGTCTTTGTTTGTGCCAGTGTCTGTGTCGATCTGGTGTCATCCTCATCGCTGAGGATTGATGCCCACGGCGGATGCTTTTAGCCTTGCGCTATCTTCAGCATCTCTCACGGAGAGTCCCAATCCGACTGCTCGCATTGTCCCAACCACATTTCCCACGCGTATAATCATTCTCGCTTGTGAATCACAATTGGCTTCTTTTGGTTTAGGCGGTGTAAAAATGTGTGTCGTAAAAAACAAAAACCTCCTCCACCCGACGCGGACAATTCATAAAAGTGTCACGTGACTCAAACGTTGCACATTTACTGCTGCTGCAGCAACACACACCAGTGTGGTGCGAAGCGGTATATTAATTTGGGACGTTCGATTCACGTGACACTATTTTATGAATCGGCTGCGCTGGGGGGAGGAAGATTTACGACACATTTCTTCACTGCGACCTAACCCAAAATAAACCAATGATAAATCGTAGTGTTCGTCGTGAAAGCCTACGTATGAAATACAAATAAAAATGTATTCGTTTGTGTCTGTGCGGTGCTGTTTAAGCCACAGCTCTACCCATAGTATGGTACGTAGCACCCCAGCCGGGACTCAAACTCGAACTTGCTGGGTTCTTCGTCGTATTGCAGTGCGACACAACCACGGCGCCACCACTCACCCCCTTCATCTCATACACAGCACAGTGTTTAATTTGTGCGCTTTAGCAAAACACAGAAATGTTAAACCAAATTAAGCGAAAGACGAAATACTGTACGGTGTTTTGTGCATTGGCGAACGGGCTGAGACCACGTAACTCGCCGCACACTAGAAACTGGCTTAATTTCAAGTGCCCGTTCACACTCAACCGCAGAATCTCACCAGGCCTGGCCCAGTACTCGGACACGAGCGTTAACCTCACCTTCCTCTGCCACAAAATATGAAGCGTTCATTAATCATCGTTTTGAGCCAAGATGTGTGCCACCCTTGCATGCGAATGGCAGGGTAAAAAAAAACAAAGCTGCGGTGTTTTTTTTCATCAATTAATTGCATTTTGTTAAACACATTTCAATGCTTTGGCAAAGACGCGGGCTGATTATGGAACTTCTCGCAGGAGTGAGCCACTGCCTCTCCTTCAGTAATCCTCCTCCGGTGTCGAACGCTCTCACCCCAGCTGCCCGCAAGTTGATCGTTGACCGTTGGAGCAATGGAAGTGAAGGCGACGTCCGGTTGAGATGGGTGGGTGGGTGGGTGGAGGTCGCAGGTCACTTGGAGGACGTCCTCATGACGGAGGCGGCCGCCCACGGAGAGACGTAGAAATTGGTGGCCGAGGTGAGGCCCGTGACGAAGTAGGTCCAGCTACGCCGCAGGGCCCGGCCCACGTTCTGCGAAGAGAGTGGTGCACGGGGTCGTCGTCCATCACGGCGTCATGGCCCAAATGTGCCAAATTTGATACATCTCTCGCAAATTGTCTAACCGGGGATCGAACAATGTAGCATCAGCGCACCCTAAGATTCAACTATTTAAACACTAACTAAACTATATTATTTTTTTATTTACCAGGTAAGGCCCACTAAGCTATGTAGCTCTTTTTCAGAAGCGACCTGGGCACGAAATATAGATCAATAAAGTGGCTTATCACGTGAAAATGTATATCAGCCAAATACTCTATACGCGTGTTTAATAAACGTGGCGGGAAAAACCGGAGCACTCGGAGAAAATTCACGAGCCCACGTGGAGAACGTGCAAACTTTAAATATACAGCAGGCGTCAGGGTCGCGATCATACTCACGACCTCCTGCACACCAGGCGAGGGAGTTAACATCTCGCCACTGCGGAACACAATGCGTCCGATCTCACAAGATCATGGAAGTTAAGCAGCCTGGAATCTGGACAGTTTTCAGATGGGTGATCACAATGCTTTACTTAAAATGTGTCATAGGCTGTGTGACCATGCTCTGCAAAGCAAGACAACAGTGCAGCAGCATCCACTGTTGTACTCTACTATGCTTCCACAACACCCCGTACTGACCAGCATGGTGAAGTATGGTCAAGATAACCAGAGGTGTGGACTCGAGTCATGTGACTTGGACTCGAGTCAGACTCGAGTCATGAATTTGATGACTTCAGACTCGACTTGGACTTGCATAACAATGACTTTGTCCCACCTCTGAGGTGTGGACTCGAGTCATGTGACTTGGACTCGAGTCAGACTCGAGTCATGAATTTGATGACTTCAGACTCGACTTGGACTTGCATAACAATGACTTTGTCCCACCTCTGAGGTGTGGACTCGAGTCATGTGACTTGGACTCGAGTCAGACTCGAGTCATGAATTTGATGACTTCAGACTCGACTTGGACTTGCATAACAATGACTTTGTCCCACCTCTGAGATGTGGACTCGAGTCATGTGACTTGGACTCGAGTCAGACTCGAGTCATGAATTTGATGACTTCAGACTCGACTTGGACTTGCATAACAATGACTTTGTCCCACCTCTGAAGATAACCCACACACACAACTCGCACGGGTAGGAAGGTTCCTACGTGACTTTACCGAAAGAACCAAAGAATAGTTTCTCGTGATGTTTAAAGCCACTTCTGTGCATGGACAATGTTTGTGTTTAGGTGGCGTAGAGGTGGTGTAGTGATTCCCTGCCCACGAGCCATCACCAGTGACGAATAATTGAACCGGTGCTGGGCCTCCCCGAGGTCCACTCGGCCTTAAACGAGTGTCCCTGGTCCGGCGTGTAGACATCACCGTTGGGGATAACAAAAACAGCCGAGCGTGGTGATGGTCACATCCACCCACAACCTCGTGCGCTGTTCCGGCCTTACTTAATAGGTGCTCGCGAACAGCACTTGCCCCATGTATTTCCAAGGGTACACGGAGGATACACTTTGATAAATTGTCCCCACCTGAAGAAGGACGCTTGTGTTGCGCCCGAAACGTCGTGATTTAACTTATTAAATTTTTTACCTACGTGACTTTACCACAAAAAACAAAGAGTATTAATCCTTGCAGTCACGAAAACTTCAAATCGAGAATTGATACACGGAGGATCTTCGTTTTTTGTCTCGTAAGTAACATTGCACGTGGAGACGCGTGTTGTGCTGCGGTGCACGGCATCACGTCTCCATTGTCACCGTCACGTGCACAGATCATTTGCATCCCTGCCTGTTATTATCTTTAATTGACACCATTACTTCTGGGATGTCCTCAAAATCGCATGAACGTGTCGTTGCGAAATGAGCAAGCCGTCTTACCCGAGTTGAATTAAGTAGTGTCGTATTCTCCGATTTATAAGACCAACTTTTTCAGATAAATGTATCTTAAAGCAAACACAACATTTGTGTGGGATCCGCACGTCTTTCTTTCCGATGCGTCTTTTACTCCAGACAATACGGTAGATGTATAGATGTCTGGTACCACATCATAAAGCGTCAATATTACACGCATTACCTTATAAACTAACACTTTTAAAGAGCAGATTGAACCACCATCGTTCATTGTTAGAGAGAGAGACAAAAAACTCACGGCTTATGAACTCAAATTCTCACGTGAATACTTCAGAATTAACCCTTAAAATCATGAATAAGTGAAAGTAGATTAAAGTGAGAGAGTGGGAGAGAGAGGGCATCGGAATGCAACACTAATATCCCCCGAATAGCCTTAAACAGACTCTTGCGTTAACGAGCAGCACCTAAGACAGCCGGCACTGTGGCACACGAGGGGGCAGGTGGCCAGCACCACGCCCGGTCATCTTTGTCTCCCTCGTGGAAATGCTTTTACACAACGCACCAGATACTCATTTTGAGGCTGACTCGACCTAGACGATGCCCAGGCCCGGTACAGATAATCGCCACGTGGTGTTGGCGGCCGTGAGTGGAAATCGAACTCGGGTCGCCGGGTCAGGTCGTCATCACAGACCGACAGACAAACACACACACAACACACACACAGACCTTCCTGTACTTCTTGTGCTTCTCTTTCTTCATCCGTTTCCTCTCCTCCTTCTCCTCGTCCGTCACCAGCTGCTCGTACCTGTCGGGCAGCGGGGCGATGTTGCCCAGCCTGACCCGAGCACCCACGGAGGAGCCCTGCTCGTGGAAGCCGTCAGCCCAGACCGCCTGCCAGCCGGGGGAATCGGCCTGCCCCGCGTCTCCCCCGAGCTCACGGTCCCGCGGAGCGAATGCGCTGTTCTCGAGTCCTCGAGATCCACTCTCATCCTCCTCCTCCACCTGCGCCTGCTCTTCCCGCTGCTTCTCTCTGCCCTTCTTGGTTCGGCGCAGCGAGAAAAGCTTCTTAAACCCCTTGCTGCCGTCCTTGGCGTCGTCCCGATGCAGCTCTTTGCTGATACCCATGACCATGATGACGACGCGCGGTAGAGATTGGAATGCGGTACAACTCTCGGCACGCTTCACGGTGCCTCGTTCCTATGGACTCTTCGAATGCGAGTGACCGCCAGTCACCGGCCTGCAGCGTGAGACGTCTTGCGGTAAAGTGAACGGAGAGCGCTTCCGAAGTTCTTGGCTTTAGACCTCTTCGACCATGACAGCCGCGCGTGCGTGTATCCCACGCTCAGCCGTCTGCGCCGGCCCGCCTGACGGCAACTGACATTGTTGTGACAAAATCCCAACCAAGTGTGTCGACATCACTCTATCGAGGATGCTGATGCTGTTGCTGCTAGGCTGGCTGGACTTTGGATTCCTGAGCCGACCACCCCCCCCCCCATCAGTGACCGAGTTTAGGGCGTAACCGACCACGTCGCTGCGAGTGAGGAGTGAGGCATGAAACAAAGACAAAGAAGGGCTGTTAGCGAGCAGCACCTATGAAGGCTGCCGGCACGGCACACGAAGGGGGTAGGATGGCCAGCGCCACGCCCGACCGCCTTTGTCTCCCTCGTGACGATGTTTTTTGCTTGTTTTGTTTAACACATCATACTAGGTACGCAATTGAGGCTGAGTCGACCTAGGGGAGGCCCAGGACCGCTGCAGATAATCGTCACCGGTGTTGGCCATGAGCGGGAATAAAACTCGGGTGGCCGGGTTTCATTTGCGCAGTGCGCTAACCGCCCCTACTACTGCGCTCACACACGCGGCCACACTGGTCACCAGAAGGCAGGCAGGGAGGGAGGGACAGAGGCTTTGTTATCCCGAGCCCTGTCTGCGCAGGTAAATAGCTTGCTGCCTGCTGCCGGTCTCGGGTCAAACGTGGCACGGGAGGAATTTGTGAATGCGCCACTCTGCCACTTGCGGTGATGGAATGCAGAGCGTGAAGCAGCAATATTTAGCACCCCGAGATACACCATTGGAACCTCCTTTGCCAGTAGCAAAATATGATATTTGTTTTTTTACCCTTTTATCTGGCAACAAAACTGACACCTTTTTTTACAAGGAGTCATGTTTGCATTGACCACAATACCTGCGGTCGGAGCTCGGGGTAAGCTTACCACGAGTACTCATACTCTGATGGTGCATTGTCTTTGAGTTGTGTGCCTTTTGACGTCATCTGGTCCAACAGCATGTAAGACTCGGCTCTAAGAAAAGCTGTCTCGGGTGTGGACCAATCAATTTCAAGGACAGTGCATACATTATCAGAGTTGTGTTTTTTGTTTGCATTCCGACCGAAAGGTATTGTGGTGAATGCAAACATGACTCCGTGTAAAAAAAAGTTGTCAGTTTTGTTGCCAGATAAAAGGGTAAAACACCAATTAGCACCCCGAGATAGTTTGGATTTGCAAACCGGGCCAGGTGACTTCGAAGGTCGAGCAAGCGAGTGAACGAGCGGCTCGCATTCGGAAGGTTGCGAGTTTAAATGTCTTGGTTGGGGTAGTTGACTCAGCCAATCATCACTCCCTCCGGTATAATGAGTACCACTTTATGGGAAAGTCAACAGCGGTTTAAACGAATTATATTTTTGTATTTTAGCAGGTAAAGCCCACTGAGATATGCAGCTCTTATTTCCGAAGCGATCTGGCCACAAATGATAGCTCAACAAAGTGGCTTATGACGTGGAAATTTAAAACATCCAAATAATCTAAACGCATGTTTCTAAATGTGGAGGGAAAAACCGGAGGACGCGGAGACAAAATCCACGCGGACCACGGGGAGAGAGACACGCAAACTCCAAATATACAGCAGCAGGCGTCAGGGTCTGGATCGAACCCATGACCTCCTGCATAGCTGGCATCTCGCCACCGCGGCGCCCGGTTGATCGATGCGTCGGATGGACTCGCCCCCGTCATACATGTTTGCCAGAACAGGGAGCCAGGGGGGATTGGTGTCGATTCTCAGTGTTCCAGTTATTCACAACAGAGGCTGTTGGGTTAGATCGCGTAAATATAAATGTGTCTTTTTCGTTCTTTCGGTAAAGTCACGTAGAAGGGAAATAATAAAATAATAAAAATAAAACATAATAAAATAATTCTCACGACGTTTCGGCCACAACGCAAGCAGCCGTCCTCAGGTGAAGAACAGATCTGTCGGAAAGACAGCGTCTCATTCAGACTGCTGTCTTTCCTTCTACGTGACTTTACCGAAAGAACCAAGAAGATGAATCCCTGCAGTCACGAAAGCTTTAAATCGAAATATAAATGTGTCGTTAAATCCGCCACCACCCGTACACAGCCACTTAATCAGGGTTGTCACGTAAACGAAAACATGCCAATTCGTTACTAGTTCACATTATCATTGCGGTTATGATTGCACGCTTGCATTATATAACTGTGCATCTGAGCGCGAAGGTTGCTCTATGAGCTCCCGGACCAGGCAGGAGCACAAATCCAGCAGACAAGCGAGAGCGCGGCACATCAGACGGACCGGGTCAGCGGGCGTGTGGCGAAAGAGTTGGACTTAACAGCGACCCACCGAGGAGGGGGGGGGGGGGGGTCGGTGTTTGTGGCTCTTCTCCCTTCGCTTGCCGGTCACAGCGTCCCGGAGAGGACACGTGGAAGGGGAGCTACAATAATGTTGCTCAAAACTGGCATCCGAGGATCGTCGGGAATAGGTCGCAGAGTTCCTGAGACGGCGGTGTCGATGCGCATTGACCGAATGTGACACCAGGCTTGGTGTGTGCGACGACCGATCAGCGGCAATCTTCTGAGAAAGTCCCACGTTGAGACCACGGTAAGCAAGTGGCAACAATCACAGCACAGACGGAGAGACGAGACATGTCGCGTTGGTGAAAGCCGAAAGTCAAAACAATCTCATGGGAATTGTCGCTGGTCAGGACAGGTTTAGCGTGGGCCAAGTGTCCCCAAAGCCAAATAGAACGTAGAGCAGACTAAACGAAGTGGTGTGTACGCGTGTACGTTGGACTTCTTTCGCACAGTACGTAGCCAACGGCGCTAATCGAGTTTAAAAAAAAAACTGGGCAAAAAAATCTGTTACAGAGAAGGAAACAACATGTCCAAGAAACGACGACAGTACTTCCAACAAGAACAACTGAGTGCAGCATTTTAGTTTTTTCGTGGAATTTCCTCTTATCCCCTGCGAGAGAAGAGTGTCGATATCGTCGCATTCCGGTTGGGAGGTCTCGGGGCTCAGGAGGCCATCGTCTGTAATATCACCTTCATAGCAGCAACGATTGGAGCAGTGGCTCAGTGGTTAGGACACTGCACTGCGACCCCAGCAACCCGAGTTCAATTCCACAAAGCGTGCGATATTTGAAATCAGTTCCGGGACGCCCACCTTTTGCCAAAGGAAACCAAACCGAGCAGCGTGGTAGACACGTGCCATGTGCTGGTGGGGGCGATGATAGCCGGAGGAGGTAAACGCATCCGAGATGACCACCACAGATATGGAGCAATGAAAACGGTTCACGTGCAGGAGGAGGTGGATCGTGGCATCGCGGGACGCTGCGCGGGGTGGTGACGGCATGGGGGACGCTTTGACGCAGCAGTGGGTGAAGGGCTGATTATCGACGGAGAGAAAAGCGTGCAGGACATTTGAACGGCAATTATATATTTCGATTTAAAGCTTTCGTGACTGCAGGGATTCATCTTCTTGGTTCTTTCGGTAAAGTCACGTAGAAGGGAAATAATAAAATATGATATTATTTTATATGATTTTATTATGTTTTATTTTTATTATTTTATTATTTCCCTTCTACGTGACTTTACCGAAAGAACCAAGAAGATGAAGCCATTATATCGTTCAGCTTCTTTGGAATCAAGGCAAATCATCCAACTGCTCTGTTGTTTGAGATGGTGGCGGCTTGGAGGAGACCTTTATCCAGTAGTGGATTGACCCTAGCCGATGACTGAAAATCAAAAATTCTGAGTTCTTTCTTGTTTCGAACACATTTCACCACCCGTTGAAACACTACCAATGCCTCCACTAAAGCCTCACGTTTGCGCAAGCAAGTCAAAATAGCATTTCAATCTCTCAAGCGATCGAATCTGTGCGTCACGGAGCAACGAAGGAATCCGATCATTTATATTAAATCTCGGGTACTGATTCACGGTGCCAGTCGAAGATTGTCGTAATTTGCTGGTCCAGTCACAAAGTGATGACGCAATGGGTGAGGGCAACCTGCAGTGCCCGTATCGTCACAAGGGGAAATGAAGCGATGCCAAGCGAGGTCGAGCACGTGTTTGCACCTCTGTACATACTGTCCGTATTCATACGAGGCTGATGGGGGTAGGAGCTTTACGAGACTCGCCGCGGTGTCGAGATGTTAACTACCTCGCCTGGTGTGCAGGATGTCCACTTCCTCGCCTGGTGTGCAGGATGTCGTGGGTTCGATCCCGACTCTGACGCCGGCTGTATATTTGGAGTTTGCGTGTCTCTCTCTCTTCCCGTGGTCGGCCTCGATTTGTATCCAGGCACTCCCGTTTTTGTTCCACTACACATTTAGAATCAAGAGCATGTGGCTGCTATACATGTCCGCGTAAGCCACTTGGTTGAGCTGTCGTTTGTGGCCAGGCCGCTTCTGTATTATATCTAAATCGCGCAGTGGGCCTTACCTGGTAAAATAAAAATTTTACTAGTTTATGGAGCTAAAATGAAGCAGAACTTTGTGAATTATCGGAATAAGAAGTTTATTTCCAGAGTAAAGCCTATTGAGCTAAGAAGCTTTTTTTAAGGGTTACTCAGCTAGGGGTGACAGTAAAATTAAGCACAATGTGCACATATACGCTTAATAAATTAATCTTTACTTGAAACATATGGTCAACTTTTTTACTTTTTAGAGGAATTGTTTTGACCTCATCTTGCCAAGATAAAATTTCCATTTTGACAATTATCAGACTTGCATTGCAATGGCAAACAACAGATGAACACTGAAATGAAATTTGCACCATTGTTTTCACAGGACGAGAACAAAATGTTTCGTTAACGTTTTTTTTTTACAAACTCCTTTTCGAGTACATCTAATCATTTTTTTGGCCAACCTCTTCTCTTGTCAGGGCTTGAACGAGTGAACCCATGACATGCAGGATCTCTTAACATTGTTGTTGTGAGTCACAGGGTGCTTACAACATCCTCTTATGCATGTAGTTGTCTGTGTAGAGTCAAAGGTCACCAGACCGCACAGACGTCGAGCTTCTGTCAACGCCTGATGATGCTGGTTGTAAATTGTAATATCCAGCAAAGAATGTCGTACATAATTGTCAAAATGTCCTCGCTTATCAACAACCCCCTTGTGTTTGCTGATAAACCAAATCGATTGGCAATATTTGCCCACGTGACTTTTTATTGGCTCGGTCAGGTGGATGGTCTAACAGAACAAATGACACAATCTTCAATGTTTGCAAACGTACAAAAAGCCACAAGTGTCAGCAGCAAATTCATTCAAGCATTAATAAAACACCACGTGGGTTTCCACTTGGCAGAGAAAACCTCCAGTTTGAGACCACGCAACTCAAATATTTTCTCGCAAAAGACAACACGAAGCTTGGCTTTAGGCGAATTTTGTATTTGCATAATTTATTCACAGAAGCTCCAGGCACAGACCTCCCACTTGCAGGGATTGGCTCCGTTCGCTGCGACAGAAGTTCAACATACGGTACATACACGTGTTCACTTAAAAGCAAAAACGACCCTCAGTACTCTATTAATAATTAATATTGCCTTGAAGCACAGCACTGTTGGCTCCAGTTTTGTCCGATGTAAATGATTATTAACGTTGTGTTTTGAGTTGTGCCAACACAGCACAGACAATGGAGTCTGGTAAAAAAAAATTACTTTTACAAACAAACCATATTTTCCAGGTTTGCTCATTGCTTCATTATATCCTTACGAAGTCAACATTCCTGCAAAGCTTAATGAAACTGCAGTTTATTTACAGATATTCACACTTTCAGTTGTGCCTCACTGAATATTCAAACGACAATTATCTTGCAGTCACTAAACCAATTCTTACTTGCAACTGCAGAGGTAAAAGTGGCATTGCATAGGCTGAGGTTCAACAACACGCGAAATACGTGTACTGAGTGTACAGATATCCGTCTTAAGCATCTTGCAAAACCACCAGTTTCTGCAGAAATGCTTTGTGGGCATCTTATCCCGATGTTACCATTAATAAAGTGCGCAAACATGACCAGCCCATCGAACAGAGCTGACTGTAGGCCGGTTTGGTCCAGATTCGCACTCATCAGGGTGTTGTCGAAACGATTCGTTTTCCAGCCAGCAAAAACATTTGTTGCGATGGGGGTTTTCTCATCATTTGCAGATCTCAACGATCGCAAATACCACAATAAACACGTATGAGAAATCAGCGTTGCAAATTAATTTACTAACCAGGAAAGAGCGAGTTTACAGAAACCAAAGTAGAATAAATCATACCACATACATATCTTCCGACACATTCCATGTTCTGATAGTTGGAGCACACGCAAAACGCACAAAACGTAATATCTGTCCTTACACAATATATACAGCAACACGGTTGTGACCAAGACGTTTGGTGTGGGATATTAGACAATGGGGCCAATATTGACTTCAAAATGAGCAATTTTCGAAATGGTCAAAATCCATTTCTACAATTTGTGTAGATGACCGAATGGACAAAATCATGCAATGTGGCACAGCATCGCCCTCGGGATCCTTCCTTACCCACGAGGCCTCGTCATGGTCCCGGGGGAGTAAGGTGCACACATCTTGGCAAGGGAAGATTAAAAAATGTAGATGAACTGCTTCAAAAAAATGTGTTTATCCATCCTAGGAAGGTTGGAGTGTCTCAAGACTCCGGCGTGTCCTACGTTTGGACGTTTGTCCATTTCTACTGAGGAGTGCTTCGTGTGCATGATGAAACTGAAGCACCTGGGAAAAGCGCAAGCATTCGTGGAACACTGCAAGGCTCACGACGGGCTTAACCCCCCATCGATTTACCCCCCTCCCTCCGAGCCACCTTGCAGCCCCAGTGGGTTTGGAAGTCCCACAAATCTGCACGATTCATCAACCTTTTTCCCACAAAATCAATTACAAGCATCCCCCACCACACCTTATCTTGTATTACAAAAGGAGGCACACACACTTTAAAATAGCAATTAAATTCATTACAACATAATCTAGTGGCGTCCAATTAAGTGTGGCATGTTTATGTTCAAGTGCCATCAATAATCATTTTAAAAGCAAACCTTAAAATAAAAAAAATGTGAATCACTTAAAGTTAAAGTGTCATGTAGGCCTGAGAGATTCGTGCAATTCATTCAAAACAATTGGACAATGTGTCCATTCATGGCAATGTTAAATTATTTAATACATTTATTTTATACCTATGTGACTTTACCGAAAGAACCAAAGAGTATGAATGTTAAATGCGTTAACTTTCAGGTGTTTTTGCTTATTTTCATGTAATTTATTGAGTTCTGGGCACTGAGGTGGCCAGGACTGGACAATGGACATGGCCACCACCCCCCCCCCCCCCCACACTTTTCACCCTGCAAACCGATTAGCACGGTTGGTTGGTTGGTCTACGTACGGTGCGCGAAAGAAGTTCAACTTACACAGAGCACAGACTAAGATATGCTCGAGATGAGTAAACAATCAAATGCATCACCATAGAGACCCCACATAACAATCATGGATCGGTCACTTAGAGTCTTGCCTGTTGCTGTTATCAAGTTTGTAAACAAGCCGGCACTGCACATTGCTTGGAATGTGCCCACGGCCACACCATGGCCCTCTTCATTCAAGAGGTCACTTTGAAAAAATAAAAACTCTTCCACTCGTGAAGGATAACATCGGGTTTTCAGTTCAAGTTGGAGAAACCGGGCTGGTCAATTACATTCCCTGGGTTTAACCAAGGCCCAGCCTGGACTGTATGTTGAATATCTTTCGCACCGTACGTAGCCAACCGTGCTAATTAGAGGTGCCGGGGAAGGACAACAAAAAGAGATTCTGCCATATATCTAAGGAGATACTGACTATTCAAATATGGAAAACGGTGCCTTTCAGGGGGTTTGTATAATAATGAAACGATCTGGTACATCAGGAAGACAAAGTATTTAAATACACTCTTCTTCTTTCGCATGGCCGATGTAGATGCAGAGCCACGACTACAAATTCATGCTCAGGTCGGTCAAGCCAGACAACAGCGTCAGGAGCAGCGGAGTGCATCGTCGCTGCGATGTTTCCTGTGTATGAAGACACCTGTTAGGCCATGGAAATAAATACTATTTGAAGGCGCTTCAAATATTTCTTGGCGTCATTGCATACAGGGCCTCGTTTTCTGATTGTTTGCACGGTGCTCGTTCAGCGTTTGCTGTGACAGCGCACGCTGCCATCGGAATTCTACAAAAGTCCCCACTCAAAATTAATCATTCACTTCTTCCTTGAAAAGATAATGGCGGCTGTCATTTGACCATCATCCAAAACAAAGGGCATGAAATTAGTGAAAGCGGAAAACACGGCCTCATGTCGCCATCACAAACGGCATTAACGGGCAAACCACTCGAGCTCACCGCACACGACGATGAAAAGCGCGGGGGGGGGGGGGCGTCACAAAAATTACGACAATCATAAATTAAGATGCAATCCCAGCGACGGGGGAGTCGGGGGTCAATCGCTCGAGGCTATCGTCGCGGGGTCAAATTCGGCCGCCAGCTTCTCCACGTCGTTCAGCATGCCGGCGAAGTACCCGTCCGCATCTCCCTCGGCCGCCTCCTGCCACGCCAGACGGCGGTACTCGTCGCGGAGCAGCGCCAGCCTCCGCGCCAGCGCGTGGCTCCGCTCCGGCTCCAGGAACGCGTCGCGACACGCGGGCATCAGCGCCAGCACGGCCGCCAGGGCCTTCTCGCGCGAGTCGTGGTCGGGGCTGGCGTCGCCGTCGGACAGGAGGGGCGCCGCCATGTCGCACCAGCCGAGCGAGGCGAGCGCCGGCGCCAGCGCCATGCGGCGGTACTGCTCCAGGCGCTCGGCGCGCCACAGCTGCTCCTGCTCAGTCTCGTCGCCGGAGGTCGACTCCAGCTGGCTCTGCAGAAGTGCGCGGAGAGAGAGGGGGGGGGCAGCAGCGGGGACACGTAAGCAGCCGTGTGATGCGCACGTCTGAAGGCTTCTGCACACATTTGTGAAAGAGCTTCACAGCTCATTGGATTCCTTCTTCAATCCGAGTGAAGATTCTGAGATTCTGCGCTTTTTCGGGCAAGCGTTGGGCAGAATTCACCCGTTTTGCGATGTTCAGCACCGCAAACTGGACAGGCTCCCGAAGACAGGACGTTACAAATAAAAAGCGTTCATCATCAGAGAGCGGCAAAGCGGGCGAGCGGGCGGGTGCCGCACGTTGTTGGCGACGGGCCATTTCACCTTCTCGTTGAGCATATCCCCGATCAGCGTCAGCACCTTGAACCTCAGCGAGCGCGTGCCTTCGCCGTCGAAGATCCGGCCGAGCGCGGAGAGGCCGCCCAGCGACAGGAAGCGTTGCTGCGCAAACGGGAAGTGGCGCAGCGCCGCCGCCAGGGCGTACAGCGCCTGCGGGTGATCGAGGAACAGAGAAGGGGAGGGGGGGGAACAAAAGCGGCTCGCTGCTTCAGACAAAACGGGATGAGCCCCCCGCGGTGGCTGTGCTTGGAAACACAAACCAATTCTGGGCTGGGTTCCTTCCTTTTTGCTTCACAGTTTTTTTTTTATTTTTCCACGAGGAAGTGAAGACCTCTCTGGTGAAGCAGCACACGGGAAATAATGATTTTTCAAGACGTGGGGAAATTCTGATCGTTTTCATTCAAAATGCTGTGGGACCTACAATTCTTCACATTAATATAGCAGTCCCTGGGTTTACGTTTTTAATCCGTTCCACGAAAACTACTGTTTACCAATATAACTGTTAATAGAATTCACTTTTATGAGTTGAAAACTAAGTAAAAATCAGAGTCTGCAAGAGAGCTGTTTCCACTGCTAAAACAGAAAACATGTTAACAAAGCCAGTCGAGGTCTACTCTCTCAAATGGGCGTCACCGATCAGCCGATGGCATGGCTCAGCATCACTTACGAGCATTCGAATTATCCGAAATTGGTACCCGCGTGCATAACGTAAAGTTAGCGTTAATCATAACTTCAACATTAGTCGAAACCATGGAGGGTCCCTATGGGAGGTGAACGTTAACCGATGTCACCGCTAACCAAGGGACTACTGCAATACGATTAATATGACCGAGTCTTTTGGTTTTACTTTGGCACAGGTAAAACCCATTGTGCAAGAAACGCTCATATTTTAATGGAGACCTGGATTACATTCAAACAGCACAAGGTTATCCACAGAGGCGCTATCTTTCACAAACTGTTATCAGAATATCCCCAACGATGCACGATTAAATCATGTAGTTACGACTGGCATGAAGACGGTGGTGTCTTGAAGCGGCTGGCCAGCTAAGAGGAACAATAATACGCCTGCGTGACCCAGTAACGTTAAGTTCAGGGTGTGAATCCAGCTCTCCTGATAACAGTAAAAAAAATAGTTATCAGCTGCAAAAAAGTTTAGTTTCAGCTCGATTGCCAAACTACACAAAAACCCTCACTGGGCTCCGACTACGCCGAGTTGGAAGTGTGCACTCGTATTCAGCGATTTAAGGCAACGCGAAACACTTATTAAGGACAATTCAGGGACAGATAGTAGTGGCTGTATATAAATAATTAGACACACCGTGGCTTTCGTGCAACTTATATCTGGGTGCTGGACAAATTTAGTACAATTATAAAAAGGTCTAAAACTTTTTTTTTTATCTTACCAGGTAAGGCCCACTGAGCTATATAGCTCTTTCAGAAGCAACCTGGCCACAAATGACAGCTCAACGAAGTGGTTTATCACATGGAAAATTCTGGCAGCCAAATACTCTAAGCGCATGTTTCTAAACGTGGAGGCAAAAACTGGAGGACCCGGAGAAACATCCAAACTCCAAATTTCCACACATCAGGGTCGAGATCGAACCCACAACCTCCTGTATACCAGGCGACATAGTCAACACCTCGCTACCGTGGCGCCATGTCAAACTGTGCCCCAACGCCAGCGTACGGTAGGCGTTCACCTTTCTGCTTACAACCCCGGAGCCTGTGGTGCCATTTCCACATTCCCACGGTGGGGACCAAGCACCGTTGACTTTCCGCAAAGTGGTACCCCCAGAGAGATAAACAGCCGCGTTGATCCCAGACCAACAAAAGACCATTAATTGCGCGAACAATTCTGGCTATCGACTGATGATGCTGGGTGTAATTACCGGGGAAACGTTGTACTCTATTGTAAATGTTGCGAGTTTACTCTCCAACACACCGGTGTGCTAAACTAGTAACGAATTGCCATGTTTGGTTTACGTGACGAACCTTACCATTTGGCCGTGTCAAATGGTGGCGGGTTTAACGACACATTGATATTTACGCAATCTAACCCAAAAGACCTCTATTTTAGATCATATTGGTCGCTAAAGTATACGCGTTAAACTGCGGTCCCAAAAGCCTACACGTTAAACTACGCAAACCCCACTAAGCAAATCTTAAAATGACTAGTTATACGTTATACATTCACAGCCATCAGATGGTGATCACTTCTAAAGATGGCAGTAACAAATATAGATCTTTCTATGGGGCTAAAGAAAGTGAAGTCGGCAACATTTTCATTATCAGCAGCTGAGACATACGCTAAGATGTTGATAATAGGAGAATGCAAATAATCTCTTGCTCAAACATTTTTAAATGTTTTTATCTTTCAATGGCCCCTCTTCTTCCCAGGCGAACAAGATAGGTTACCAACACACCACCTGATAAAAAAAAAAGTTACGCACAGTAAAGGACCCCCCCCCCCCCGCCGCCTAAAGTAATTAGGCTGAACTTTGTGCCAGATTCTTGGTTTGCCCACATCAAGCCGAGAGTAAAATACGAGGTAGCAGAAAATGCAGCTCAAGTGAACTCTTTAAAAATGGCACGTTTGCTTCGGGGTTTCTTTTTGACACTCATTATTCCAAACAAATACTCATTTAAATTGACCATGGGATCCATGATTATAATTTCCGTCATCTGGAGATTCCCAGTGACTGACAAATTGGAATCGTGGCCATTCCGAGTAGCTACAACCAAGGCCACCTTTGGCTCCAATTCCTCTCGGAAATTGCGTGCGATCGAGACAACTGCTTTCAGACAAAGTGCACTTGGCCATAGATCCAAAGCGGCGCGCTTACAAAACTACCTCCATAAAAAGCAGGTGACATCACCCACCTATACGTATGTCTCAAAAAGTTATGGTTTGCTATTTGAATGTCTTAGAGATGCACAAATCACCACCGTCAAACAGCAGACAGTGTGCAGTGGGGAAATTGTGCGTACTCCCCCACCTCCCTAGACATCTTGCCAGCATGGAAGAGTAGGCCAATATACCCTGTCTAGAAGGAGGCTCTCTAGGGATACCTCTAGTACAGGCCCATAGCCAGGTGGTGGTGGCAATGCACACCTGTAATCCAGCAATGTGGAGGCGTGGGTTGTTGGATCGTACAAATGTTGTGAAACTCCCTTCCCATGGTTGTCAAGAAGGTGTGATTGCCCTGACTTGCAAGGGTATGGCACCATCTGTATGGGATAGCGTTTCCCCTTCACACGTATGGGTTTTCTGCAGGTGCTCCGGTTTCCCATCGCATGTGAACACCCATAAAAAAAATCGTGCCGATAAACAACACCTCAATATATCGAGAACCTCAGAGCTTGGGCAATTTTTGGCGCCGGCTCATCGCGTGGCTGCTTTCCTGCATGTCCGTGGTTGCTCGTCGCACCTACGAATCATTCTCTCTCTCTACGCGAGCGGAGTGAACACTGTGCGGCGGCACCGCGTTACGAGTCGAGCGTTATTCTTTCGTCAGCAGGGGCTGTAGCAAACAATTGCTGGGCTGCGCCTTTCCCCGATGAACACGAAGGCGTGATCTTAGAAACTCAAAACATACCGGCCAAGTTCGCCGGCACAACCAATAGGAATCCACGAGCTATTCATAGCGGTCGAGTCTTTTTGTTGTTGACCACCAAGTAAGGCCCACTGAGCTATGTAGCTCTTTTTCAGAAGCCACCTGGCCACAAAGGATAGCTCAAAGAAGTGGCTTATCGGGTGGAAATTTATAGAAGCCAAATACTCTAAACGCACGTTGATTCTAAATGTGGAGGGGAAAAAAGGAGGACCCGGAGAAAAACCCACACGACCACGGGGAGAACATGCAAGCTCCATATATACAGGCGTCGGGTTGGAAATGAACCCACGACCTCTTGTGTACCAGGCGAGGTAGTTAACCCTTTTCCATTCCGAGACGTCTGCAAGTTGCAGGGTGGTCCTGTTCACCGCCTAATCTCGGAATGTGCAAGCGGTTCAGTGTTAATTTAATTCAGAGAGGCGTAGCACCGTTGTTTTTAAAGATACTGTACTCACCGCAGAGAACTATAGCAACACGGCCTCACTCTACAATAGCTGGCGCCAAAACTGTGCCACGCGCCCTCCCGCATGGCCTTGCGGGAGCCTAGGTACCGATAAAGTCATTTTATTTTTTTCTTCCAATTCCGAAAGGGAAAGGGTGAACATCTCGCCACCAGGGCGAGTTCTGTCTGAAGGGTCCGCGCACCTTCTTGGTGACAGGCAGCTGCTGCTCCGTGGCGAGGGCCGTGACGAGCTTCTGCAGGATGCCCCCATCCACTGCCTGAACCTGCACCGGAGGATTCCTGCAAAAGCAGCAGCAGCAGCAGCAAGATGCGACAAAGGCAGACAAGGCAGCTGCAAATCACATCGACGATAAATGCGAACAAAATTACGTGCCCTGGAACGCAATATCCCCACAGACACTGCTACAGAAAGACAAGAAGGAAAGTGGGGGGTCTTCAAGCTAAACCTCCGATTAGCACGGTTGGCTATATAAGTATTCGAAAGAAGTTCAACATACGGACACAAGCCACTTTTGCGAATGTTTCACGAAAAAAATTCTGGCGTTGTCGGCAGGAGAGCTGCAATTCAAGAATGACCAACAGATGTCGTCCCAGGATGCAGAGGATCCTAAAGTCACAATTTGATCCGAACATTTCAATTGCTTTGAGCTTTTGTTTTCGTTCACTATGATGTGATCAAGTCATAGCTTAGACAGAGCCACAATTTTCACCTTGTGTGCCTATGTTATGTGCTAAACACTCAGGGCTTATGACACTACGATTCCATTTACAATTTTAATCTGCTCTCTTACAATTTACACAACAAATAACGACATCGTGTATTTCAAATAACACAAAATATATGAAAGAAAAACGTCAACCATCGAGGCAGTCATGACTCCAGCCAAGTGAAGAATTGGAAGGTCGCGACTCCAGTCATCAGTGACGGCACATATCACTGCGACTATACACAAGACAAACAACGTTTGGCCGAATATGGCACTGCCAAAGCTGTTCCCAAATGCTGCACTGCCACTATTGACACAATCGAGGCAAACTAGGTACTGCACCTTCTGTTTTTTTCCAAGTTGCGATGAGGTTTTGATGTCAGAAACATTGGAAGGGGCCAAAAGGAAATTTCCTTTTCTGAATTTGTCCTTTTTAAAACTTAAAACGTAGGACGGTATGCTTTTTGTTTGTTTCTACATTTGAGCTTTATAGCTCTGTGGGCCTTACCTGCTAAAATAAAAAAATTGTTCAGTTTTCATTTAATTAGCCTGCCAGTAGGGGGCGATGATTGCTGTGTAATTCCAATTGGGTAATTTTCCAAATTCGGACCATTGTGCCAGCAGTACAAAATGGCCTATTTGTTGAGAATTACATTTAAGGGATCTGTTAATGTCCACCGTATGCATGTTGAATTTCTTTCGCACCATACGTAGCCAACCGTGCGGATCATAGCTGTGGCTAATACACCCCCGCAGTCATAACCCGAGCGGCCAGCTGGATTCAAACGGCGACCCTCTGAAACAAACGGCGAATGCGCTACCACCAACCCATCACACGGCTAATGAAAAATAAAAAAATTACGTAACCATGCGATGCTTGGTGATATTTATCGTTAATACGCCCGCAGTAATAACCAGGATGGCCTACTGGATTTGAACCGCGGACCTCTGAAACAAGCGGCGAACGAGCTACTGCTGGCCCATGTCACTGCTAACTGATGCGTGTTGCTACACCATCACACAACAGAGAATTCTGCACAGCACCTGCCGCAAAGGTTTAAGACGTATAATGCTCAAGGCGACGGTTGGTGGACGACACAGATTTGTGAAACTCCCAAAACCACTGGGCAATGGAGATGGCCAAGTGACGGCAAGTGCAACAAGTGGCCTCGTAAGCCTGTCCGTGTGAGCCTTTCGAGTTCCCTCCAGGTACTCAAGTATTCTTCCACAAGTCAAACACTCCTTTAAAAAGAAATTGCCAAACATTCCAACGCAGTTATACTCCCAAAAAAAAAGAGCCTTGTAACTCGGTGAGGCTTCCTCGATCCACACAGAACAACATCTATGATGGTATTGCTGCTCCAAGAGAGATTCTGGTCATTGCCAAAAAGTCGCTCCACCTCTACCCCCTTCTATTCCCCCCCACAACTACCACTGCTGGGCATTCCCCCCCACCCACTCCCTCCCACCACTACCCAAACCAGTCCACCCCCATGTGGGGGGGGGGAAGGGGCTGGACATAAACAGGAAAAGGTGGGGTCTAAAGAAGGGGCAGAGCCCACAGATAATGCACGGAATCAAAAATATGCAGCAGGCAGCAATGACACCTATAGTGCGTCAAATGCGGCTGCAGGCAAACTAGTTTCTGTTCTTTTTCTTTACCGTTACTTCAAAGGACAAAGATACCCACCCGGACATGGCCGATCCCAGCACAAAAGCTGCGTTTTTCCGAATCTCAGGCTCGGAGGAGTTGAGGGCGTTGACAAGTTTCTGGAGGCCTCCCAGCGTCGCCAGATCCCGGGCATTGTCCACCTGTCGATGCAGCACAATGCCAAGTTCCGTTTAGCACCGACGTTCACACCTCTGGCCAAGCTAACATGGCGTTGCTCTACTTTAAGTATAGCTCAGTGTTCTTCACTAACTTTCAGAGGGGGGCCCTACTTTCACCGATAAAACATCATCAGTGTGAGGACCGTCACACATCTGAAACAATTAGGGTTTGACAGCACGATGATGATGATGATGGGGTGGGGGGGGTGTTTTCATATTTGTGTATTGTCGGGGGCCGCACGTCAGGGGCCGCACTAAAGGCCACCAAGGGCTGCCAGTGGCCCGCGATGGCCTTGCAATGAAGAACCACTGTGGTATAGATGCACACAGTGCTTACATACTCAGAGGTATACATGCACAAGCACTGTGTGTGTAATAATAGATTTTGCTCCCACTTCCTTTTGCTGCCAAGCACATACTTCTGCAGCCTGTAACACCTATAATGCATGGTGTTCACCCATTCAAGCACTTATCCAGGCTCAATTATACCTTGCCTTCAACATATCGTGAGATCAGGCATCCGATGAAAGGGCGAACTGGTCACATGCATTGCCGACAAGCGTTCAGAAAACCTCGACGGTTTTTTTTGGCACATCTATAGCTCTTGCCAACGATAGAAAGTAGTGGGCTGTACTTAACCACACTGCAAGTATCGCATGCGACTGCATGCTATTTACAGTGGGGTACCGACGATGATAGTTTTCTGTTGCCGCTTAACAGCGATGCAAGACTCCACATGTTGGTGACGACTTCTCATCACTTACTGTTCGGCAAAAGCTCAAAAGCAGACAATACAAAAATCTAATTACGTGAAAAGTATAATTTGGATATGAGGAAACCTTAAATTAGCACAGTTCACATACAACCAGCTCATCCTTACATTGCACTGGCGGAGGGAAAGCCAAGCGGCAACTTCTGACACAAGCACACTACGTCAGATATAAGCACACACATGCCCCACCTTTTCTTCCACGGATTTTGCGTGCGCTTATACCCCAGCCTCTCTCCTCGTATACCCAGCATTTAAAACACGACAGAATCTACAGGTAATGTGCCTAGCAAACACGCACAAACAAACATATAACATATCGACTTGAGAGTTCAGAGACGAGGTACTGCAGCAGGCCCACACCTGGTGCACGTAGTACTCCAGGTCGAACAGGGCGGCACTGCGCTCTGTCACCGGGACGTCGGGCTGCGAGAACGTGGCCAGCAGTTTGCGCATGATCTGCGAGTCCGACTCGGCCTTCACGTGCATCTCATTGAAGTCTTTCTTGATCTCGTCCATTGAACGGAAATTTTTCTTGACCTCGTCCGCCTGAAACCGTGAGGCACAACACGGTCAAGCAATGACAACCGAGGAGGCAAGGACGCAACCGATGATCAATTAGCATTTATCAAACAAACACATTAATTCTCAGTGATGTAATGAATTATTAGACCGATCGTGCATTCATCAACTTTGCCTTGGCATCACTAAAACACTGCTGAATACATTTCGAGTTAAAGCTTTCGTGACTGCAGGGATTCACCTTCTTGGTTCTTTCGATAAAGTCACGTAGAAGGGAAATAATAAAATAATAAAAATAAAACATTATAAAATACAATTCTCACGACGTTTCGGCCACAACGCAAGCAGCCGTCCTCAGGTGAAGAACAGGTCTGTCGGAAAGACAGCATCTGAATGAACACCACCAAGCTTGGCAGCGTATATTTAAGCTGGGTTAGGGGAGGCTGCTTGCGTTGTGGCTGAAAAGTCGTGAGAATTGTATTTTATTATGTTTTCTTTTTATTATTTTATTATTTCCCTTCTACGTGACTTTACCGAAAGAACCAAGAAGACTGTTGAATACATTTTATAAACAATTAAAATTGTACACACGAACACACACTGCAAAAAAATATATACATATTCATCCATACGACCTCATAGAGACTGTTGCTGTAAGTACCTTGTAAAGCCCTGCCACCTTTGTGTCCCCAGTACTCATGTTTAGACGCCACTCCAGGTTTCTCATTTATGATAAATTCACCTAGGGTGGAAATTCAGGAAAGACTGAGATGGCACGTGCCACCACGCACTGTCACAAACGGGTCGAGCCCTTTCCGTCGCGTTTATGGGTTTTCCCCCCGATGACTTTCGAACGTCCCCGCTGCATTTGGTCGGGCAGCTTCTACAGGGACGGAATTCACGGAACTCAATTCAGTTCCCCAAGGAGCACCCAGCACGTAAAGCGAAACGTCGGGACACCGCGCCGAACAACGCACGGTAACAACCTGAAAACCCTATTGCTGCACAAGCTGCCCACAGCAATGCCGTGCAGGCAAGTTAATGGCCATGCTGAGTAGAGAACTCAAGGGGGGGGGGGGGAGGGCGAGTTGGGGGGGGGAGCAATCCCTCCCCCCTTGAGACCCTAACAATTGGCATTCAACACTTTGCCATTCCGAGACGTTTGCAAGTTGCAGGGTGGGGGGTGGGGGGTTCCGTTCGCCTCTGAATCTCCGAACGTGCAAACGGCTCAACGTCAGTTTTATTCAGAGGCGTAGCGCCGTTGTTTTTAATTACTCGCCGCAGAGAACCGTAGTGACACGACCGCACTCCACAATAGCTGGTGCCAAACTGTGCCACACACCCTCCCGCATGGCCTTGTGGGAGCCCCAGTACCAAATCAAGTTATTTTATTTAAAATATATTCTGATGAAAACGAAATAAATAACTGATGACGTACACATACATTGGAAAGGGTTAATTGGAAATGGCCAGAGAAAACATTGAATGTTTGGAAGTCTATTTATTATATATTATTAACATGAGCGCTATTTAAAGAGTTCGACACCTCAGGACTGCCCTCCATCGCCCCCCTCGGGAAGTTTCTATGCTTCGCCCCCGACAGAGAGAGGCACCCACGGCTCCCTGGGGGGCGCGTCTGCCCACAATGAACCTCGCCGCTCTGCTTACGTGTGCCTTGGCAGCCGCGGCATCGGGGTCCGAGTACTTGAACTTTTTGAGCGCCTGCTTGAGCTCCGCGGCCGTGTAGGAGCCGGCCTCCACATCCAGGCTGCCTTTCCTGCACCCCACACGCACAACACGTTCAGAGGGCACTTTGGCATCATTGGTTTTTTTTAGCAATAGGCGCTTCACTTTTTTTAAATTATATTTTCATTCGTTAAAAATATTTCAACCGTCAAAAATCCCGTGAAATAAAACGCCTTGTTTGCAAGGGTGGCCACCTGGTGTGGATTGACACATTGACTGTGGGGGAGGGGGGTTTATACACGTGGTGGATATTCCACATTCCTATGGCAAAGCAGTCGATTATTGAGGACGAGTATTGTAGACCTTCCACCTAGTGGTGCACACTAGAAGCTGCACATTATACCAAAATCATGATCAGAATATTTATACTGAGCTTGAAAGCTCATCCTTTTCCAGTCGGGGCGGTAAGAATGTTACAGCAGTACAAAAACACGATAAGAGTACAAGAAAGGTAAACAAATCACCCAAACATATACAAATAAAACTAAACCATCCTAACCGAGAAAGCCCACTGAGATATTCACTTATTTTTCAAAAGCGACCTGGCCACAAATAATAGCTCAACAATGTGGCTTACCCATTTGGTCATTTATCAGAGGGAGCCACACAAACACAAAACGTTTTTCATTTCATTAACGATGTCCGGGCTCTGACCAATAAATGGAGTACCAAAGATTAAGGCTATTTTGCCGTCGTCCTGCCAGATTAATGCTTCGACAGGAGCAGCGATGTTGGGTCCTTCTCAGCTATGGGATTTACAATAATAAAATAGACCATGCTCACCCCATTTTACGAGTGGAGGTAACACAAACGTGCATTTGTTAAGTATATGCACGAATACGAGCGCTTTGCTAAAACACTTGCTTTTGAAAATATCACACATTATTTACAAACATGTTGTGTAGATGGTAGAAACATTTCATGATCTTGTAAGAACCAGCCTAACAACCACGTGTGAGATAGGTGCTGCATTGGAATGGATTACAAAATCACATCCAGGAACAAATGTAACAACATGTAGTTGTCACTCTTCTAATTCATTTTTTTACTTCGTGTATAGGTGCACTGAAATTAATGGGACACCAGAGATAATATAAACGTAGTATTTGAGATACCTATACAATCTGCTCTCCTATGCCGTGCGTTTTCGAAACGCAAATTTATACATCACGCGCTCAATGTATTAGGGAACACATTTTTTCTACTAACGTGGATGCGAATTGTATATAATGCGATTAAGTGAATGGAACTACATCGCACGAGTAGAAATAAGTGGTTGTACGGCTGCCTCGGCGTAGCATCACACAAGGAGGGATTGCTGCTAGATGCTTCTAGACGCTACCCACGCGCCTCGGTCTTTGTTCAGCCTGCGTACGCATCTCACGTATTATCGCGGACTGTGCTTCACCCTATATTATATATTAATTATTCATATAATATATTTCCATAGCGCGGTGTTTTTCATTAATATCTCATTATCGAACAGACTATATTAATACTTTTGATCAGACTTGAGATCACAGCTCAAGGCCACAAATTTATCAAGGTGAATTACCCACTCGACTCACTGCACAGCTGCTGGAGGAGTGACTCAGAGCAGGCTCACACCAAGCAAAAAGCAGAGTCAGCACTGCTCAAACAGTCTGAATCCATAATTAAACAATGTTCCCAATTTTAGCTTGTCGATGGTCATGCTGGCCACTCGCTACTCACGAAAATTTTGGTTGGTCACTTAATTTGCATAATGCAGCCATGGGAATAAAAACGGTTATATTGGCATACAAAATCTTGATTTGAAGGTTTCATGACTGCAGGAATCCATACTCTTTGGTTCTTTTGGTAAAGTCACGTAGGTATAAAAGCAGGTGGGAAAGCATGGTCTGATGATGGGCGCTTGTGTTGCGCCCGAAACGTCGCGATTTATTTTATTTTATACCTACGTGACTTTACCGAAAAAACCAAAGAGTATAGGCATGCAAAATGTTGCGTGGAGAAGAGACACTGAAAAATAACTTGGAACGTATTGTCTACATCTCTCAGGGCCGTTACCCATAACGCACGGTAGAGAGTGGTCACTAGAAGTGTGTCTCAGGACACAGCATGGATATCACATAATTGGAATCTGAGGGAAAGAGTAACTAGAGAAAGAAAGCTTTAATATTTTGACCGGAATGTGGTCAAAACTAAACAGTTCAAACGAAGTAATTAATTTGGCTCATTCATTATATACTAACAAATTATTATTACACGTTTTAAAACATTACAAAAATGTATTTATAGAGTATCTATACCATATGTAGTCACGTGGGAGTATTCGTACTAGGCCACAGAAGTTCTCAGTGTAGGCATAATTGGAAAATGTTTAACTCCGACAGCCACCGCACATCGGGTTTAGGTTGTGCATAATTTAATATGCACGAAAAACAAAAGGTGAGAAACGGTTAAGCAGGTCACGTCACGATCAAGAATAACGATGGGATGGCAGCCAACGGGTGGCAAGCGTCCAAAAGTACACCCACCGAGGAGATGGAGCGATGAAATCAGTTCGCGTGCAGGTGCTGGGTGAATTACTACATCGTAGGACCGCGAGAGATGGTGGTAGCTTGGCGAGGCCTTGATCCAGCAGTGGACTGACAATGGCCAAGTGGTAATAAAAACGCTCTTGTTGGTGGCATCAGACTGGAGAAAAGTCCCTGAGCTTAGCTGAGAACACGCAACCTGCAACTCGGAGCCCCATCCAGAGGACGACCAGGCTGCATTGCAGTCTGAATGTTTACTTTGTCATAGCCAACCATTACTCAAGACTTGGTCGCTCATAGGAACACACATAAGTCAATACGATTCTCAAATGCTGTAACGTACTATTTAGATGTCATGGTTTTTGTTATTGGGCCCAGCACATTTAATGATGCCTTTAATGAAATCCAAATTAACATTAAACACATCTTTGACTTAAAACTTTCGTGACAGCAGGAATTCATATTCTATGGTTCTTTCGGTAAAGTCACGTAGATAGAAAAAATATAATACAATAATAAAAATAAAGTGAATAAAAACATCACGTTTCGATCGCTTGTGTTGCGATTGAAATGTCGTGATAGAGTGAAACTAAAAGTTTCACTCGAAATGTCGTGATAGAGTTACACTCTAAATCGAACGCCACAATATTAAAACCAGCCAAGCTATAAAAAGGCAGTGTTTCTACATTACAAGGCCCGCCGACCACTTGCAGCCCATAGTGGCCTTTAGTGCGGGCCCTTGACGTGCGGCCCCCCGACAATACACAAATGTGAAAACACCCCATCATCGTGCTGCTGTGAAACCCAACAATGGTTCAAATGTGTGGCGGCCCTCATACTGATGTTGTCTTATTAGCGAAAATGTCCCCCCCCCACCCCCTCTGAAAAATTGTGTAAAACACTGCCTTACGGTGTTACGACTAACACATGTACTTTGTATGCAAGCCGTGGACTACTACGAGACGGGCAATGCAGTGACGTGCGGACTATCACTTGTCTCTCTGCTTGCGGTCATCCTTATTCTCTCCATGATTGCGTCCGTCCGCTTCGTCCAGCAACTTCGCCTCCCTCTCGCCTGTCTGAAGGTTGAGCCTGATGTGCAAGCCAGCTGGTACCGCTTGGCCTGAAACAAAGACAAGGTGCACACATTCCAGAATACATATTGGTTGGGATTCCATGGCGAGACGTGGCACTGCTGTTTGGAGAGCGCTCTGATATGAGAGAACACATTTTATTCTTTTCTCCCAGCACACAAAGTGCGCATCAAGTAATTTAAGAAAAATGTATACACATGTTAAAAAAAAACCACTATGAAAGTGAGTCTTACTTAGATATTGAATTGATATGGCAGTTGAAACAATTTTAGATGATTTTAACCCTCCGCTGCCACTTGACGAGTGGGCCAAGATGCCCTCTTAGAGGGGCTCTCTAAAGCTCCCTAGAGTGGGAAGCCATGCCGCCAACAGCGGCACGAGCGAGTAATTTCAGGCCTGCACCTTGACCTTCACCTTTTAAATTAGGTCGAGTGATAGTATCGTGATGGTATTCGACAATATGCAACAGTAGAAGCCTCAGGTGGTCATTCTTACCTGGCTTCAGTGACTGCCATTCACTTGTGGGGTGAAACACCTCTGGGTTATACTCCTCCTCCTGCTGCTCCATCTTCGTGGTGACCGTTGCATCGTTCGCTTCTGGACCATCCTCAACGTTTTCCTCAACCAGCACAAGGGCCGACGTCTCCTGTATACCAACACGCAATTTTTCACCAATGTGTTAGTTTTTGTTTACACCGCTAATGCAACACATTCTGGTTATTAAAAGGTAAAGGTTCAGTCCTTAAACTTATTTCACACACCACTACCAGTGGTAGAGCCTCCACTAGAGGAAGGTGTGGAGAGCCACTCGAAGAGGGTAATTGGCCTACTCTTCCACATTAGCTAAAATCTTGGAAGAGGTGGGGATGCCCACACCCACACTACTCGGCATATGGGACCTTTTTAACTGTGGACAGGTAGGGGCAATTTTCCCATTGTTTGAACTACCACCTCTGGAATGCAAACCCAGTGAGCTCACCATTATGAATCCATGGCACCATCCCTTTGTCGAATGAATATTTTAAGTTAACGTGGTTATGCCCTTTGCAGGTGCTCTAAATATATGCAGACTACCAGCTCAATATGGGTTTTTAATTGGAGCTATAATGGAACACCTTTGTGCAGATCAAAGTCTTTCATATCTGTTTGTGTGCCAATTGAAAAGTTGAAAACTGGTCAAACAGATAAAGTAATGGCCACAACTCTTGCCCAGCCATATATGAACACGAGCCACTATTTCAGGAAATATACTGCACAATACAATAGCGAAGGATTAAGTCTATGTAGATTATCGTTAATTAACACAAAGTCTTTCTCAAACAATATTACGTGTTATCAGACACAAAACAATTATTAATCATTATCCTTCGTTATTCAATCAGGGCAAAGCAAATGGTTTGGTGCAAGTCATAAATGTCTCACTACGTAGCAGATTTCTTGTCAACACTTGCACAATGCTGTCATGTTTGTTGCAAACTACACAATGTTGAAAGCGGACCTTTGCTCTGACGTTCAAAGTAGAACACAGGGCGACCGCCAGGAGCAGGAGGGAGAGACGGCCACTGCAGCCCATGGTGAGGAATCTTCCAAACCTCATTATGACAATAGCCTGAAAGGGAACATTTGGAAGCACAATAATCATCATAAACTCGGCATATACAACGCACCTTACTGTACAGCCATACAGCCATATATTCTATAAATGGAATTAATGTTACATCTATGACTAACAGTGTGCTTGAGCTACTGATTGTTACTTAAACTTAAGTATACAGCTTTTTTTTCAGAAGCAACCTGGCCACAAATAATAGGTCAACTTAGCGGCTTGTGTGGAAATTGACAGTAGCAAAATTACTCTAATCGCATGTTTATACATTTGGAGGGGAAAACCGGAAGACCCAGAGACAATTCCACACGACCACAGGGTGGGAGAAATGCAAACCCCAAATATACAGGCGTCAGGGTCGGGATCGAACCCACGACCTCCTCCATACCAAGCGAGGTAGTTAACATCTCGCCACCGCGGCACCCGAAAAGAGCATGAAGTGTTCATACTCTTAGGTTTTTTGGTAAAGTCACGTAGGTAAAAAATTTAAATTGATAAAAGTAAAATATTATTTACATTTTTTTTTACTTTACTTAAAAAAAATATTTACCTACGTGACTTTACCGAAAAAACCTAAGAGTATGAATCCTTGCAGTCACGAAAGCTTCAAATCTAGAAGCATAAAGTGTGCCCAGGCTTAAACCAGCAATGAGGCGGTGGTTGCCTGTATCCGTTGGTGGCACCTTAACCAGTGGTGTATATTTCACGGTCCTATGGCAGGGGTGAGTTCATCCACAACACAACAGAACCAGTTGATTTTGTACAGCACTTATTTTATCGATCCTAGATGGACAGCAAACCGAGCCCAATCGATCCATCACCGCGAGATGTTAACTACCTCGCCTGGTCTACAAGAAGTCGTGTGTACTATCCGACCATGACGCCTGTATATTTGGTCGCATGGATCTTTCTCCGGGTCCTCTGGATTTTCCCCTCAACACTTAGAATCAACACGCGTTCAGAGTATTCGGCTGCTATACATTTCCACACGATAAGCCACTTGGTTGAGTGATCCATTTGCCATAAGCCAGGTCGCTTCTGAAAAAGAGCTACATCAAAACAGTGTGTCTCAGCAGCAGACCATGCTTTCCCACCTGATGATGGACGTTTGTGTTGCGCCCGAAACGTCGTGATTTGTTTCATTTTATACCTACGTGACTTTACCGAAAAAAAACAAAGAGTATAGAGCTACATAGCTCAGTGGGCCTTGGCTGGTAAAATAAAATAAAAGTAACAATCCACGACTTTCCTTTGCACGGCAAGGCCCACGCTCTGCCACGTAACATCAAGTTGTACTGAATGTCTCACCACCACACTGATGATGAACATTGAACAGACACACGCCTACGACGACAACTTGCCGTGCAGAGGGAAGATCTGCAGCTTGCGATCTTCGGGTTACATCTCGTTATTATAACAGCCAACGTTTCGGGCAATGACCCTTCTTAAAACCGCGGTTTAATTACTAACAACCCGCGATGCACAACATCGTGTGCTCTGATAATTAGCCAATACGTGCAACGCTATCTCCACTACTCAAATAGAGTAGTTACGTGCTAGTTATACAGTGTACATACTACACACACACATTTATATAAATACGATGGCTGTTATACCACAGTTATACCACATACATGTGTTGTTGGGTTAAGATCGCGTAACTATGTGTCGATAAACCCGCCACCACCCGACAGCCAACTGGTAAGGTTTGTCACGTAAACAGAACGTGCCAATTCGTTACTAATACAGCACACCGGTGTGTCGAGAGCAAATCCACAACATTTATATTAATACGATCTCACCCAAAACAACTATTATGGACATTGGTCGCGAAAGCCTACGTGTGTGTGGACAATATGTACTATAAACACACAAACAGCAGCAGCGGCTTCTTTCTAAACAACAAATCAGCTGTTGTTGTTTACGCACCGCAACACGAAGACACCAGCCACCCGTGCCCGCCACGCGACAGTGAACCCGGAACTCGCCGCATTGCCGCCCTTTATATAGACACGACCGCCACGTGGGTTGCTCGCGGGTTGCGTCAACCACTCAGCGACCCCCGGGCAGGCGCACGTTGACCAATCAAGCGGGGGCACGCCGCCACTACATCGCCTCCCATTGGTCAGTTGCGGACCCCCCCCTTCCGTCATCCCCCCCCCCACTCATGACGTCGTCGTGGCCCAATCGATGCACGCGCAGGCCACCAAGCGGACCAATCACGGCGGCGGTGGCGGAGGCCAGCCCACGTCGCCGCGTCCCATTGGTCAAGACGCTGCCCGCGCCGCGTCGTGGTTTTTGTTCAAGTCCCAATGAGTCACCGCAATTCACACGCGCGAGACAAAGATCCCCCGTGTAGCCTTCGCAGACTGTTGGGGCAAGTGCTGTTAGCGAGCACCTATGAAGGCCGGCACGACACACGAGGGGGGGGGGGGGCGGCCGGCAACACGCCCGGCCGCCTTTGTCTCCCCAGTGGCAATGGTTACACACCTCACCAGCTACTCATTTGATGCTGAGTCGACCTAGGGGAGGCCCAGAACCCATTCAGATATTGTAATCATCACTGGTTGCACTACCGCTCCCCCCACACACACACACGTGCACGCACACACTCGGTTTCACACACTCACTTTGACATACACACTGTCACAAACTTACTTTCACACGCACACTTGTGCCAATACTAATACCCCCACATTCGCTACGAAGTGACGGTCAAGTCACCACGGCTCCTGTAGCAGGCCAGGTGCACTTTGAGGCCAAGTGAACACACACGCACAAACACTCACTCCCTGAGTGAGGCCTGACTCAACCATCGCAGAGGATCACTCTGCTGAACAAAAAAGTTCCACGGTTCAGTTCGCATGTGCGAGTTCGCGTTTTAAGTCGATGTAAATAAAATATATTTCATGAAATTCATACTCTTAGTTTTTTCGGTAAAGTCACGTAGGTAAAAAATGAAATTAAAATTAATAATAATAAAATATCACGACGTTTCGGAGGCAACACAAGTCTCCGTCATCAGGTGGGACCATCACAGCCTGATTTGCTGTATCAAGTGAGGCAGGGATTCCAAGATGCAAGTTCTTAAATACAACCGAAAAAACTAAGAGTATGAATCCTTGCAGTCACGAAAGCTTCAAATCTAGAAATATTTCATGGAAGTTAATTCGTTAGTATGGGTGTTCGTAAGTCGGTTATCGTCTGTAAAGAAAATTGTGATCAGAGATAGGATCCCAAGCCTCACGTGCACAACAGGCCACACTCACCAGTGTGTACACTATTCAGAGAACGGGGTACATCCAATTCAGATGTGGGGTGGACTCCGTTCTGGTGAGATAGACACTCCATTAGCTCCATTGAAATGTCATTAGATATCACTGACTTCAATATTACTTGAATGTTAATTGACTGATAAGGAGTCAGAATTTCTGTTGACTGTCGATTGAGTTATTAATGGTGATGAAGATATTAGCAATTTGAGACTTTGATATTAAAGTTGATTGTAATATCTCAATATATAAAATACTCAATAATTAGGTCCAATCCCATTAACAGAGGGACTGAGCTGAGGTGTTGCGTGACAAGGGGGTGGTAAGGGTGTGTCTGGTTATGATTGCAGGTTTGCGACGTTCACTTTTTTGAGTTTATTGTGTTAGTTTGCCGTTTATTCACGGGGATTGTAATAATGAGATAGTGTCACCCTGCGGTGGCAATTATTTAATTCACTTTTATTTGGACAAACCGAAAAAAGCCTCCCAATTTCTTTAACAAAAGTGTACAAAAATTATCATCTGTGCAAAAAGTATAAATAGTACAAAGCTTATACACAATAAAACAAAATGTGTGTAATATGCTTAAATACATGGATGTAGAGGAACTCCTCTACTTAGGAACGCGTTAGGTTCCAGAGGTCTGTTCGTAAGTCGATTTGTTAAACTTTACTCCCGTCAATTCCAAACATGTTGTACGGCATGTACACTAAACATGGGGAATGGCTTTAAAAGTTGTATAATCTTCTGTAGATGTAGATGCCACCGGTTCTTCACCTTCTGCAGATGTAGATGCCACCACCGCCATATCTTGCGTGGCGGTTGAACTTACGACTCTCAGTCCAAACAGGCAACTGGACATACGGACAGGTTTGTTCCTATTTCTGAAAGTTTGTATCATCAGTAAGGAGGAGCGCTTTCAGTTATTTCAATTAAAAAAGAGGGAAGATATCGTCACCCTCTTTTCCGACAAGGGCAATGCCATGGTCATCATAGACAAAACGTGTACAATAACAAAATTCAGGACCTACTTCATGATGGTAGCTACACAAAAATCAAAAGAGATCCCACCAACTGCCTCGTTATAAAAACGAATGGTATCATCACTGATTCAGCTTCATTAATTAAACAGACCAAACGGTTTTCCTAAAAACCTTCTGCTGCTAGACCACCCAGACTATATGGCTTACCAAAAATCCATAAAGAAGGTACACCCATTCGTCCCATCGTCTCCACCATTGGCTCACCCACCTACAAACTGGCCCGATATCTGTTTGAGACATTGCAGTCATTCACTGGTAAGACCACCTCAGCGGTGCTTAACTCAGCTCACCTGGTATCGTCAATTAAATACATCTCACTGTCCCCAGGTGATTTGTTCGTTAGTTTCGATGTAGTTTCTCTGTTCACGAAAGTCCCTGTGCCCAATACCATTGCAATAATTGAAGATTTGGTCCAACAAGGACTGAATGCTGATGTGCCAGCCCTGGTGAGACACTGCTTCACCAATACATACTTCACTTGGAATGGGACATTGTACAAAAAAACTGAAGACAACCCAATGGATTCTCCCTTATCTCCGGTTGTGGTCAACATTTTAATGGAAACATTTGAGACGGACGCCATCCAGGCATCCACTGTACGCCCGTCCGTGTGGAAGAGGTACGTGGATTACACGTTTGCCATCTGGCTACATGGTCGATTGGCTCTGGAACAATTCCTCGACCACATCAATGTATCTCCGACCATGAACACCTGACCAGTGAACTCAAACACGTACACCAGGCTCTCAAGGCGAATGGATATTTTGAATAAAAAATCCGCAAAGCCATCACCCCAACCGTGAGGAAGGAGCCATCTGAAGATCCAATCAAAACCATCACCTTACCTGACATAGCAGGGAAACACGTAGGCTGTCGCGACCAATGTTATTCATAATCAACGTTTTTGGGTTTAGATCGCGTAATTTATAAATGTGTTGTAACCCTCCACCACCCGACACGGCCAATCAGTAAAAAAGTGTCACGTTGACAAAAGACAAATAGTTCACTGCTTTAGCCCACCGGTGTGTTGAAGCCACAACATTTACAATTTGAGTACGACGTTTCGCTGGTAATTGCATCCAGCATCATCGGGCAATTCAAATTGTAAATGTTGTGGCTTCAACACACCGGTGGGCTAAAGCAGTGAACTATTTGTCTTTTGTCAACGTGACACTTTTTTACTGATTGGCCGTGTCGGGTGGTGGAGGGTTACTACACATTTATAAATAACGCGATCTAAACCCAAAAACGTTGATTATGAATAGCAGGGAAAACCATTTTTTTTTCTAAAATCTTGAACAAACACAAGAACCAGGTCCGATTTAACACAAGTGCATACAATTTGTGACCTGATCCTATCTGTAAAGGACAAGATTCCTAGCATGCAATATCCCAGCGTTTACAAACTAAGCTGTATCTCCGGCAGCAGTTACATTGGGGAAACTAAACCACATGTTTCGGACCGTGTTCGTGAACACAAGGCAGATCTGAAACACAGCAGGACCAATACTTTTGTGCACTCTGGCTGACCGAAGAGGACACGTGACCGGTTCAGTCTACAAAGGGGCCCAAGTGGGGGCTAGGAGTGGTCACGTGGTCCGGGTCGAGATCCTGCTAGAGGGTTCTGGAAGGTGGTCGTGGCCAAGGGCGGAGCCAGCCACGCCGCAAAGGATATAAGCCGGGTCCCCCAGAGGGACCGGCGTTGTTGTTCATCTTGAAGAAACCTTCGTCTACAGTCCTACGTCAACACGTGGACCTGGACCCAAGCTGTGGTCTGATCCGGTGTAGCCAGTTACGTTGTA